TCTTTTCTTTGTTGGAAGCTTCTGGCACAAAAGGTGCCACCTGTTCTGAGACTTGTTCACCGTCCTTCTCCTTACCCTTGTCAACCTGTACTTGTTCAATTATAACCTCGGTGAGCTCTGCTGACTCATCTGCCTCTAATGTAACTGGAGTAGTTGGCGTAATCTCTCTCCTAAATTGAGCAACTTCTTGCTCTCTGTCTAAATCTCTTCCATTCCTGAGACTCACTGCCATTAGCTGATTTGGGTTATGCTCCTTTGGGTTAATATTTGTATCTGCAGGCAATGTTCCTTGGGGGCGATTGTTCAAGGCCATAGACAGCTGTCCTAGTTGAGTTTCAATGCCTTTGATTGCTGAATCATGTGCTGCTAACTTTTCTTGCATCTTACCATTTGTTCCAATGAGTTGTTGCAGCATACCCCTGATTTCTACCATATTGTTGTCCTGTTGTTGATGAGGTGGTTGGTAGGCCAACTGTTGCTGGTGCTGCTGATTATAGCCCTGTTGTCTTTGATAAGGCACACCTTGACCTTGTGGTCGTGCGCCTCCAGAATTGGGGTTGTGTTGTGGCAGGTTGGGTCTGTACTGCTGGTTTGGTGCTGGTCCCCTTTGTTGCCCACCTTGCCTCTGACCTCCAAAATTATTGACATAATTCATGTCTTCTCTAAAGCCCTGATTGTCATTCTCTCCACTCCGCGAGCACACATATGACTGGTTTATGCAAGGAGTGCACAATACTCCATTCATTGTATCAACAATGTGCACTTGCTTCGTACCCATCTCATCAATTTTCTTTGTCAGTATGCTCATCTGAGTCATGAGAGTGGCTATGTTATCTGCATGGGAATTGTTTAGGTCAAGAGCAACAGAATGCACTATTGGTGTAAGTGTCGTACCTCTAGCCATCCAGCCTGAATTTTGAGCCATCTTGTCAAGAAGAATCTTGCACTCTGTGAATGTCTTGCTCAAAAATGCACCCCCAGCTGAAACATCTACATTGGACTTCAAACTATCTGCTAAACCCATGTAGAATCTCTGTCCCAGCATCTGATCTGGAATGCCATGGTGTGGACACTTCACTAGCATACCCTTGAACCTCTCCCAGGTTTCTTGCAATGACTCAGTTGGTTTCTTCCTGAATTGTAATATCTCATCAATCTGCCTTGCAGTCTTGTTGGGAGGATAAAACTTGTTTAAGAACTGTTTGACTAATTCTTCCCAAGTAGCAATGGAGTTTATTGGGAGTGAATTCAGCCAAGTTTATGCATTTCCAGTCACAGAGAATGGAAACAGTAATAGCTTGATGGCTTCAGGAGTCATATTCGGCTGTCTTTGGGTCATACATATTGATAGGAAATTCTTCAGATGTTGTTGTGGGTCTTCAATGTATGACTCGGAGAACAGTCCCTTATTTTGCAACAGATGCAACATGTTGTTGGTGATCTGGAATGTCTCCGCTTGTATCTAAGGTACAACAATGGCGGTGGCTAAGTTATCAGTAGTTGGTTGTTCCCAATCATATAGAGCAGCTTCTGGCACAAGAGGTGCCACCACTCCATTGTTTGGGTCAACCCGATTATTTCGATTGTTTTCGTTGACATCATCCACGTTGTCCATTTCAATTTCGAGTGTGTATTTTTGTTGTAACTGTTTGTTCTTCTTGTTGGCTCGATTTAATGCCCTGAATGCTTTCTCGGGGTCTGAGAGTCCTTCAAAAAGTTCACCAGTCCTCGAAGAGCTTCTAGGCATACACCTGAGTCACAAGAGAATTCAAACGTGAGAATTTCAATGGAAAAATTTAAACACCGTAAGAAATTGATCTAAACTAAGAATCCTAGAAATTCTTCTAAGTTGTAATAAATAACATCGTTAGATCCCCGGCAACGGCACCAAAATTTGATCACGCACAACTATGCCTTGTAAAAAAGACTACACGGTCGCTACAAATATAACCCGGTTCAAGTCTGGAGTCGAATCCCACAGGGAACTAACCTATTCACTACAACCTTAAATAATGCTAATGATAAGCTCAGACAACTTTTGGATGCAAGAGTTTTATGAATAATCAATGAAATTTATTCAGCCAAGGAAAAATGACACTAAAATTAGCAATAATCAAGACTAAAATTGAATTCAAGGGTAAAAGGATCTAGGGTTATTGATTTCCCCAATTGCCGGATTAATTCTCAACTCTTTAGCTATAATCTCGTCGTAATACTTTATGAGGTTTATGAGCTACGAGCTACCGTAATTACCTTTCGATCAATTACGATAATTGACTAGAAGCATTCCCTCGAACTACTCTAGTTAACAATTTATGCAACTCAGAATTATCCCACCAAAGCTTCGTTATTTCTAACCCCACTTTTAAATTTAAGTAATTAATCTCTTAACTTCCCCAAAAGTGGTGTTGTTCAACAACAATCTAACCAAGTGTTCTTTCTCAAGCAACACAAGGTGAATAGACACGATTAATCGAGGGCCCTTTCAATTAACCACAATACAATACGTAATTGAACAATCATAGAACAAACACGACTCAATTATAACAAAATAGAGTCAAGACTTCATCCAACAATTGGTTCCATCAACCCTAGATAATAGGTTTAGCTACTCATACTAATGAAAAACAAATCACTAAAATAATTTATAATCAACAAATAGAAGTATGAAGAAGAAGATGAAAACTCTTAGGAATTTATCCGTCTTCTCTCCCTCGTTCTTGCCTCTAAAATCTTCTAAAAACAACTATCTCTCACTTCTGGGCGAGTTTAGGTTTTATATAGGTTTAGGTTAGTCACCTAAGAAATTACATAATTAACCCTGCGTGTTTGGCTTTCGTCCGCCCGTCCGCGGCCGCGGATTTGGACTGCCTCACTGCCTTGAGTTTGCGGACCAGTTCGCGGCCTACTCCGCGGCCGCGCACCTGGAGGGGTCGTTTCGCTTGCTTTTCTCGCTCCTTTTTGACCAGGCTAACCTTCGATTGCCCTTTCACATTCCATGTTGACTCCAAAACACTCGTTAGCTCCCTCCTAGCTCGGAGTAGCTCCTGCAAAGCATCAAATTCTTAATTAGAGCATTTTGTTATCTTTTAGCATTCAAATATCAATAAAGTGCGGCTAAATTAGAGTGTAAGTAGTGTCTAAATTGCATGAATATAGCCTACTATCAGGTTCGTAGGAACTACCTCCTCCACGATGGGGAAGCTTTCGTCCTCCTCAACCATGGGTTCCTCACCACCGGGAGGAATGGCTACCAATAAAGGGGTGGCATCAGAGACTCTATCAGAAGTATGAGGAAAATTTGACATCTTTTCGTAATAAAATATGTACAATGAAGTCAAAGAAAGAAAGTATCGACCAGGAAAGAAATCGAGGACTGAAACTGAAGGAGCTGTAGGAAATCGAAAACTGAGATCGGAGAAGAGGCTTAAAGAAGAACAAAGTGCATACAGAGTAGGAGATGCTAAAAGTTTCGATAATGAAGCCCCTCTCCTCTATTTATAGGGTTGGGTGGCACCTGAATCGAGGCAAAGAGCCGTCAATGGCACCAAAATCAAAGCGACAGAAGCACAGGAAACGACACACTACATTAGGAAGACGCGTAATGATGACGCGCGTGGCCATTACACCATCCTATGTCAGTCACGCCAACCACGACCCTGCTGACGATCGCCACCAGTTTGACCTCGGGCGATTCGATTCAATCATCACGACCAAATTTCCTCTGACTGGTTGTAGATAGAATTCGCTCATCGAGGACGTCCAAGAGCACAACCTCAATAAGCGGAGGGACTAACTGTATTGGTCAAAATTTGGACTGAACTTAATGACTACAAATGGACGGGACATGGTCGAGGTCAAAGCCGATCACGGCTCAATGGCGAGGAGTCACCTAAAGAAGGATTAGCGCCGAGGTCGAGTAAAGAACGTATGGAAGCAACAATTAGAATACGTTTTAGAATAGAGAGAAGGAATATTCCATTAGATATTTCTTCAATCGTACTTTTTAGGGTTTCTTAGAAATATCCCTATAAATAGGAAGAAATAAAGAACAAACAAGGATTTCACTTTTCTGATATTGTAAAGGGTTGACTACAAAGAATACACAAAAGCTTGTCTTGTCTACTTATTCCATTGCTCAATATACATCTTTTATTCACAAGATCCAAGGATTTCTTGTCCACCTTCATTTTCTATTATCCCACGTTGTTGTCAAGAAGGAGAATCATCCAAGTCATCTAACATTTGGGTGATAAATTCCTCTTTATTACATTTATTGCCATTATCTACATTTATTGCATGCTTTCATTACTACATTCATTAACAATCATTGAGCATTTGTAGTTGGCATTCAATATTATTAGATTCGGTCCTACATCATCAATATCTCTAAACTTCAGATCTAGTAGTTATTATATTTAACTAGAATTCTTAAGAAAAGGTTTAATATTTTTTTGGTAAAACACTTTCCTCTTATACCCACAATATTAATTACTCATTTCAAATTATTCTCTCAAATCCATTAAAAATATGCATCAATTAATATAGGTGATAAATTATACACTTCATTTATTATTTTTTAAGGAATGTGCAAAGTTCACATAGAACAAATAAAAATGAACGGAGAGAGTATAATCTAAGTCATCCAACGTAGACCGACATATTGAGACAAAAAACTATTATCCGCACTTAATACTTACCAAATTAGTAAATAATTTAATCTTAAGTGTTTGCTGTGTGATTATATACCACTTAAATTATAATTAAGTAATAAATTTTTATATACAAACACATGTATTGTATTAATTTGATTGGTACAAACATAGTAAATATTTGAAACTACAATTTGCGTTGAAAAGGCTAAGTCCATGAAAAAAATTTATTCACTTTTATTTTTAGACCGAGCTTATGTGTAAAATATGTATAATCTGATTAATGTGTATTATCACTTAAATTTATAACTCATATACTATAACTTAAATAGCTAACTAAACCACCCACCACCACCAAACCACGCTGCAATAAAAATCTCTCCTCTCTCTCTCTCTCTCGCTCGCACTAATTCAAATGATGAATTTGATGGAAGTGAATGATTGAATAATGGTAAATATGTCAGTTACGGAGCTGAAAGAACGGCACATGGCCGCTAACCAAACTGTAAATACTCTCCGTAAACGTCTCAAGCAGAAGCGTCTCCATCTACTTGACACTGACGGTTGCTCCTTTTCTTCATGAATTGCATATATTTAACTAAACAGGAGATCTAATTTTTTATTTTTTATTTTGGAAGTTGCTGGGTATGCAAGGTCACAAGGTATAACTCCTGTCAGCTTTGGCCCGACGGATCTGGTTTGTTGTCGGATCCTGCAAGGACATACCGGTAAGGTAGATATTTGTGCTTCTCTTCCTACACATTTACTCTACTGTTGCACCAAGGCTTGTATGTTGGAGCCAAACAACCTAAATTTTTAACTATTTATTGTGTTTGAAATTAAGCCTTAATGATTTTAGTTTAATCTGTTTTAGAAAATTACCAATTTGATCTCAGCAAGTTGCTCTCTTTGACCAACTGCTTCTAATAGGTTAACACTAACATGTATAGTGTATGTTTCGAAAGGATGGACTTACAGTTATGTATTGTTTGCTCCAATTCAGAGGTTGCCAACAAATTGCTGGCCTCGGTTTTCCTTTATATCGTTCTTCCATTTTATGATTTTCCTGATTCTATTGCCTAATAAGTTGTCACGGAATACGACATTATTAATTTTTTGCAGTCAAATCAGTAATTTCTGTTTCTTCATGAAAAATAGTAAATTTAGTGTAGTCGCTAGTTTGTGAAACCTTTTGTATTGTCTACACACTTGTTTATGCTGTGGTCTAAAGTCTTTCTTCATTATAGTGAAAATTTAATATGCATTTACTTTATGATCTACATGGAGTAAAGTTATATAGGAGCTCGATTTTTGTTTCTTTTTGAAACATAACATGGTGACAAATGGTGCATTTTTGTTTTAAGCATGTCTGGTCACGAGTTTATGACTCGGAACTGGGAAGAAAGAAACTTGTAGTTTTGATATGCTAGAGACACAATATTTTGGAAAAGGTTTGCTGTTATTTGTCCATAATATTTGCATCCAAAATATAAAATGTCTACAATGCCTTAACTAAATAAGCGGACTACAATGCCATAGCTAAATAAGCGGATAACTTCATATTTTCTCGCTACTTCTTTTTCTCTAAAAGTGAATATCTTTTCCAATGCAAAAAGTGATGACTGCAAAAATTGATCATTACATATCTAATACCTACTAAAAGTATTATATACTAGACAGCTGTACTAGTATTTAAGTGGCTTGTAATTCTCATAAATTTTCAACAAATACGATCAGAACCGTGGAAGAGGATGACAATTTGGTTAATGAGGAAGAAAATTCTATTTTTCAGATAAATTATTCTATTTTTTTTAGATGAAAGTGATGTCTCTAGTTGAATCCATGGCGTGACGTACTATAAATGAAGAGTGATTGTTTTTAGGCTCATCAAGGTGGGACACTAGAGATTTTAATGAGATGTAGGTTGGTGAAATTATAGAAGTATTAGAAGGTCCAAAAATTGGAATGACTTTTTCTAGTATAGACGAATTGTTTGATTTATACACGAAACAAGGAAACCAAAGGATTTAGTGTATTGAAATGATCAATATGTAAGATGTTGAGTCCACCAAGTACGTTTTTTCGTATGTCAGAGGTAAAACACTTTACAACAAGTATAGTGAGAGGACTAAATGTATAGATAGAGTTAACGATGTGATAGATGGTGAAGTAAGGTGCCCTGTAAGCAAGGTAGTTGAAGTGCATTTGCATCCAATTAACCCTGACATGCCTTAGCTTATTGTTGACCATAGGAAAATGACAAAGGCATTGAATAGGATAATTGAAACAATTGACAGATCAGTTATTAGAATTTGTGTGAGTGAGGTTTAGCATGGGGGTGTTGAGCGAATGGGATGCTTATCCGAGAACTAGAAATTTTATTCACAGTAACAGCTGAGGCTGTAGGAAGAATGCTAAGTCCATCCAAAAGCTTTTTTATGAAATGCAAGGAAAGGATAGGGCCTCCTTCATTTGATGGATGTAGACTCGGAAGTTAGATTGAAAAATGTTATTTGGATTCATCAGCAGGTAAAGGCTGCTTGTGGACCTTTATGATATAGTTAACTTTATTACCCCATACCTTGTGGACATGTATTGACTGCCATTTGCAACATTTATGAGTGTTAATCGCCTTTGTCCGTTAGTTTTTGGTGTGCGTTGATATAGCATAAAGACGTTGAAATATTTAGGTGGATTTTCTACTTGAATTTATGCTACGTGAGATATCCATCCAACTTGTATGTTGAGTGATCAATGCGAGAGCATATGAGCAAACAATAGGTCAACTTTTGCCTGACACTAGCCGTCGGTTTTGCCTATGACATATATATGTAAAGATGCCTACTAAGTTGAAAGGTGTTGCTGAATATAATATGTTGCAGCAAAGAATGAATTCAAAGCAAAGTATGGTTCACAGTAGAGGAATTTGAAAGAAGATGGGTCGAATTTACAGAAAGACATGATTTTTGAAAAGTAATAATTGGATGATCAAGTTGTATGGTGAACGAGAAAGTTGGGTACTTTTTAATCTCATAAATCTACTCTGTTGGGATGAGATCTACACAAGCAAGGGAATGCATTCCTTGTTTGATGGTTATGTGAATAGTAGAAGTACACTTTATAATTCTGTTGAATAGTAAGAGCTTGCAATTATAGCAAAATGTGACAATGGGATAAAGTTAAATAGAAGTCCAGATACACCAAAGTGAAATGTGATTTTGGGTTTTCGTGGGAAGAACAACTCCAATCCGCTCTTACACGAACATCTTTTTAAGATGGTCCAAAAGGAATCGGTGCGATTGTTGCAGTGTGATTTGTTTATTCCATTACACAAGAATGGGAGTGAGGTAGCTACACTGTTCGAGATGAATATTATTTACCGTTCGACTAGAAACAACTTTTTTGGGAATCAATTTGTATTCAAAGTTGAATACTGACCTAGAGGCAATATGTTCAGTGCACTTGCAAGATGTTTGGTTAATTGGTATTATAGGCTGCCACATAATGAAGGTGATGTCTCATAAAAGAGTGCACAAAGTGAATCCCATTACATATTGAGAAGATGATGAAATGATGTGTACCGTTATTTCTTGAAGATTTTTTTTACCGGAGGTTACCTATGTCACACCCCTTTTTACCTTTAAAAAGATAAAGTATTTTTCCAAAGTCAAAAGGTTTTCAATTTGAAAGTAACACAAAGATGTTTCCAAAAGGGATTTTCTCGGAGTCTCCATCTAATAATGGAGTTTTGTGCGGTAGGTCACCTTAAAACAAGTTTAAAAGCATTTTCCTTTGAAAACCAAAATAACTCCATTTACTTGTTCGCAAAAGAGGATTTTAGGCAAGGAGATTCTTTTGACGGGGGACCCCCAAGTTCCATGGAAAACATGGTTGCTTACTTGATCAAGTTGGCTTTTGAAAACACTTTATATTGAGACCACACACACATTTGCTGACCCTGCTCGGGAGAATGGTAACCGTTGGATTGGGAGGCTTGGATTAAATTTAAGATATTGATTGGTTGGTGGGTTGATGGGTTTTGGGCTCTTGGGTCAGACAGGTCAGGTGGCTTTTGGGCTCAGGTTGAGGTATCCGAAGTTTGACCTGGCTTGGTAGGAAATTTGATTCAAAACAAGACCTAACATTAGCTAGCCCAAAAATCTCTCTAAAATAAAATAAAATACTACTAAAAATACTAATTAATTCTAGTTAAATCTTTTCGACGAATTTAACATCAATCACATCCAATGAATTTCCATCTACCAAAAGTTTTCCTCCAAATTAAGAGAATTATGAAATTTGGTAAATATATTTTGAGCCTAATATTACTCACTGAAACTACAATTAAACAAATGTAATAACTTAGATATTAAGAATACTTAGTATAGTGAAACATTTAACATAATGTATATGGTTCACGTATTATTATTAAATTTTTTTAACAAAAGAAAAGAATGCTTAGAATTAGTCATTCTTGTTTTGTACCTTGTAATACTTCAGTATTTTCACATACCTATATCTCATTAACACGTCCCGTTCCCCCATCTTGATGATCCTCAAAGAAATCATTCTCTTTTCATAGATCGTCATGTCATTGACTCCATTAGAGACATTATTTTCGTATGAAAGATTGAATTTTCTTCCTCATTCACAAGACTATCATCCTCGAAGAACCAAACACGTCATGTGAAGTTTCTCTGACATTAATGTCATGGCTGAGATATTGAGTTCCTTCTTCATTAACTTGTTCCATGGTTCTGACCATGTTTGTTGAAATTATTTGAGTATTCCAAGCCACTTAAATTTTAGTATGACTGTATGGACTTATATATAATAGTCCGCATAATTACCTTTAGTAGCTATTAGATATTAATGATCATGTTTCGTCGCTATCATTTTTTGCATCGGAACATGTGGAGCTAACTTTTGGAGTGAAAGAAGTAACGGGACAGGATGAAGTTACCTGCTTATTTAGTCAAGCAAGCAGACATTATCAGAGTTTGGACGTTTTGGACTCAATGGTTTGGAAAATAACAGCACCCTTGAAATAGCTTCTCTGAAAATAGACCCTGCCTTTGTAGAGGTAGGGGTCATTTGGCAGAATTATATATTTCCTTTCTCGAGCATAAATAGTCATGTCTTCTTTCTCATCGGTTGTTTCCTTGTTCTACACGTCATTTTGCTCATTAACCTTTATCTCATGTCCTTTCCATTAGGTTTAACTTTTTTGTTTCTCTTTCTATTTTATGATGACAAGAATCCTTGTATCTTCTTTTTTCATCTGTTATTATCATTGTTCGGAAGATATCTCATCTTCTGGATAAAGCGTGTTCATCTTCGTGGTAAAGCTAATTGGCACGTCCTGTTAGGCAAGATTGATTGTTCAATCATAAGGTGCCACTGTTCTCTTCCTATTCTTGCTTGTTCATTCTTTTGTTGTGAGCTTGATAAAGGCTACTGTTTAGGAATTTCTCTTATGTAAAGTTTCAATTGTTCATGAAAATTATTTTTGAGCAGATCTGTTGATACGAATTGATGTGCAGAAATTAAAGAAACTAAGATTAAAGGATAGAAATTAAGACTAGACCGATATAAGGTGCAGTGTCAAACAATTGATATAATCATTTACTCAACAATTACAAGACTTATAGCACCTAATCTATAGGATTTCCCTCAAGACGAATTATACACCTTAAAGAGTTAGATCAACAAGTAGAAAATACCTAAGTTGCG